ACTCTGTTAGCCTTTCTGTACTTTAGTTGACCCTTAGAAACACTCTGAAAATCATCCTAAAATAACAGTTTGTTGGCAGACCTTGGACTCGGCAACGAATGCCTTCCTCGCCTAAGCTAGAAGCTAGGCCTTGTTACAGCCAGTCAGCCGGTCTCGGCTTCTGTGTTAGTCATGCTGTAATTTGAGGCACAAATGACATTAAGCATGAGATGGAGGAGGTGATGACAGTATCTAGATCACCTCAAAAATTCCCAAGCTAGAACAAGGGAAGGTAACTTTTTGATTAATACAGACCCCTGTCTCTGAGTCGATGACGACCTTGGAGAAGGTATGAGGTATTGTTCTACCTTCACTCAGGAGATCTTTGTTGATGGGGTTTCTTAACTGTTATTTTATAGGTGTCCTTTCTGGATTCTAGCAGAAAGCCGCACGTTTTTCTAGATTTCTGTGTTGTTAGGCCTCTAAATATTTTTATGTAAAATAGTGGTGGGAAGGTGGCTCCATTTTACACCAGCAAGTCTTAGTAGCTAATCTTTAAACGCTTGCAATCCGTACTTCACAGACAACTTTGTTGTTGTTGAAGATATCCTTTCTTGTAACTATCACCTAGACCAGGAATCTTTCACTAAAATCTCAAAATAAAATCATCTATTCTTAGATCTTGCTCTAAGAGTCTTTCCAATGCTGGGAAAGTGATTAATCTTTTCCTCATTTGTTCTTGACTTCTCCTTATCCAGGGAGAGCTCCCTCTATATGTAAAATGTGAGAATTTCCTTTGCTTCTCTCTGGGCACTGGGCAGTAAACCTCAACAACTTTTCTACTACCTGAACTTAGAAGGCTGTCTTGTATTGACCAGGGCCCTTTCATATGTCTAGTAGAGACTAAATTTCTTTCTTCTACAGACCTAGAGGTCTCTTTGGTTATTCTTGATTTCACATAATTTATTAAATACTTGCGCTGTGTCACCAGTTGGGCTCTGAACTGGGACAAAGACATAGGAAAAGAAGACACAGCCCAGCTCTAGGGGCCCTTGTCATGTGCTTAGTCTGGGGCCTGAGGCTGCAGCTCTTAGAACTGTCTCTCTGTTTTACTTACTTGTTAAAATGTTGATAATTTTTTGCTGTGGAAAATTTCAAACATATAAAAGTAGAGAGAGTAAGATAGTGATTCCAGTCTACCCGTCGCTTGTTTGGGCAATTATCAATTCATAGTCCATTGTGTTTCATCCATATGTCTACCCAACTACCTATTCCGTGGATTATTTTTGAAGCAAATCTCAGGTATTTATTATATCATTTCATGGGTGAATATTCCAGAATATGTCTCTAAAGTATGTTTTAAACAGAGAAGGACAGTTTTTTAAAAATATAATTACAACGCCATTATCACCCTTAGCAAGTTCATAATAATTCCATAGTATAATCAAACATCAAGTGTTCAGATTTCCTTGATTGTCCCATGATGTTGGGTTTTGTTATTTTTAGGTTGTTCGATTCATGATCTGAATATAGTCTGTATATTGCAACTAATTGATGTCCCTTTGGTTCCTTTAATAGATAGGTTCCTTTGCCAGCTCTCTCTCTTTTTTTTCTTTGCATTTTCTTGGTTGAAGAAACGGGGTCATTTGCCGTGTAGTTTCCCATCATCTAGATCTTGCTATTTGTATGCCCATATATTAAAATATTCCTCTGTCCCGCATATTTTCTGTAAATTGGTAGTTAGATTTAGTGGCTTGATCAGAATCAAGTTTGTTATTTTTGGTAAGAGTACAGTATGATGACTCTTTATTTTCAATCTGCAGCCACCAGATAGTCCTCCCACAATTACATGATATTTAGTTAGAAGATGGCTTTTCTGAATATCTAAAGATAGAAAATCTCCAAACACCTAATTATTCCAAAGGGATTTAAAAAAAAATGATTGCATTCATTTTCTAGTCTGTCATTATAAATTAGTACAAATTTGGTGACTTAAAATTCAAACTTATTATGTTACAGTCCTGTAGGTCAGAAGTTCACTGTGGGTCTCTGGGCTGGGGAGAGGTGTTGGCTTCCTTGATGGAGGCTCCCGAGGAGAGTGCATCTCCTGGCCCTTTCCAGCTGCTAGAGGCCGCCAACCCGTCTCGTCGTTCCCTGCTTCAGTCTTCAAAGCCAGTAGTTGCATCTCTCAGATCCTTCTTCATGTCTCCCTGCGACTGCAGCTAGAAGAAGTTTCTGTCTTAAGGACTCATGATTACACTGGGTCCACCTGGACAATCCAAATAATCTCCCATTTCCAGTGCCTTAATCTTAATCATAACTGCAGAGTTCCTTTTGCTCATATATTCCCAGGTTCCAGGGATTAGGAAATGGGAATCTTTAGGGGGCACATTATTCTACATATCACAATGGTTACCCATTTAAAAAAAATTAACATCATTATAAAATCGAAGAATGATTAATAGACTGTTGTATGTTGCAAGTGATCGATTGTGATAGAATGACTTGGGATATGTGATAGGGTAGGGCAGATGACAGTAATGAGCTACTCAGTATGACATCATAGTTTTGCATGGTGCTGCATGACTGTCTGTTTATATTTTTGTAAGCAGCAGTATTTTACTTGGTTCATTGTCTCTAAGATGACCGTAGCACCTCCCCTTGGAATTGCTGCTTTAGGATCTGGAGAAGCTTAGGTCATCAATATCATCATCACATATGCAGTGTCTCTGGTCCCTGGACTGTCTGTGTCTTTGGATTCTGGAATGAAAATGTTATTCTCTTAACCATAGTGGGGAGGTGCTCAGTTCTTACAGAAATGATTTCAGTGGAGCAGAATGTTTATCCCTCTTTCTGTTTTGCATTAGAAAGAGAACCTTTAGGTAGTTAAACCATATCACCAGTCAAGGTTGAGAGAAAAGAGTGCAGAGTAGTTATTTTTCATTCATAATCTATGTCTCTACTAGATAAAGCAACTTCATAACTTCAATGATTCTTTTTCTAACTGAAAACTGTAGAGGAATCGTCTTTCCTCTTTTTAAATTGTTTTACCTTTTAATTCATGTTGACTCTCGACCCTCAGTCCTGTATGTAGATTCTTTTTGGGATGCATTTGGAATTTTGCTATAATATTGGTCATCCTATAGCAGCACTAGGTTGATGATAGATTTATCTTGGAGGCCATCCAAGAGGTTGTTACTAAAGACCAAAAGGACCTCATTATAAAGAGATTTTGCTATAAAATGGTCCCTTAGAATGATCCCTGGAGAAAGCAGGTCATTTGTATAGTTTGAAAAATACGTAGTGTCAAAAAATGTCACTGAGGGGTCCTTACCTCACACCATTAGTTTAAATAAATTCCAGATGAATTAATGAGTTAAGCGCAATGGCTTAATTCCATAAAAAGACTAGGAAAAAATACAAGTCAATGTTAACGTGATCTTGCATAAGAAGACGGTTGTGATTTCAGCTTTTGAAGGTATGCCTTTATGTGAACTAGTCATGAAAAGAACCCCGTCAACAAATGAAGCCACAATTGGTAATATACCCTCATCTGGCATATTGCCTGGGTAGAAAGAGTCCTTAGATTCAGCCTCAGAATGTTCTTCCAAATGCACCTGAAAGCAAAGAAAATGGTTCTTACAAAGAGATTACTGAGACTGCAAAGAACAAACCAATATAAAATTTTAAAGAAAGTACTTCGAGTTCTTTTTTCTTTAAATTTTCACAATCTAGAAAAGCAATACATTTAAAAAAACAAAAATGCTGTTTTTACTATTTATTGTTTTGTGTCCTGCATTTTTACACTTAATAACATATCAGAGATTTCTTTCAACATCAAAATATCCATGGACCATATCACTTTTAATGGCTCTGTAGTATTTTATTACATGGCTATATATACATTTTTAAACAAATCATTGTGTTTGGGCATTTGGATAGTTTCCAGTTTTTCACTATTATAAATGTATCAGTGTGGGTCCAATTAGGAGAAAGAGGGTTGAAAATTTAATATACAGAATTATTAACTATAACAGGACATTAGAGTAACGATTTCAGAGAAGTCCCTGTGGTTTGCAGCCAGACAATCTGCTAGTATCTGCCCTCTCGGATGCTAGGGATATTATTCCTGGGGAAGTGTCTAAGTGGAGGCACTCTGTTATGGAACTCCCACGGAGGGGGTGCCCTGCTGACCTTGGGGTGCTGCTGGCCTCTGTGCGCTGGAGGACACTGGAGAAGCTGGAAGGCTGCGGGAGCCTGGCGAGAGAGTGGGCTGGAGGCAGGAAGCAAACCTTTCCTCCTATGATGTCTCTGTAGTCCCCTCTACTGACAAAGATGGCAAAGGGAAAAATATTTAAAGGACCCAGGTCCATTTTCACAGAGCGGTCAAAAGGGGGTCAGTTTGGAGCTGAGAGGTAATACATTGATAACTAGCACAGGAAGCGATGTGTCAAGGAATGTCATTGGATGTACATCTTGCATGCCGTCTGATGCTTTCTTACATACATTTGTAGACATAGAGCTGACAGATAAAAAGGTAGGCACAATTTGGTCTCCAGAAAGGTATGTGAACTGTCCTCCCATGACGCAGTACATAGGAGCTTCTAGTTCTTCACACTTCGTTAATCCTGGGTATTCGCATTCTTTTTCATTTTCATTTCTTGTTTATATCCTTTGCCCATTTTAAAACTTGGAAGATTAATTCTTACTGATTTGCACATGCTCTTTATGTATTAAATATTCGAAAGTTAAAATGTTTATATAGTCAAATTTCATATTCATTTTTAATATTTAAAATTTTAATTAATCTGGAAATCATTTTCATTTAAGGTATGAGGTAGGTACTTAATTTTTTTTCTTCATTTTGTTCCAATAGTGTTAACTGTTTTCTCTCTCCTTTTCCTAGTGATTTAAAATGTTACTTTTATCATATATTGAGTTGTGTTATATGCCTGGGTATATTTCTGGACTTTAAATGGTTTCCTTTGGTTTTTAGTTAATAGTTTTACTTTTTCTTTCAGAACAGGATGCAGGCCTCGATGCCCTTTCTTCTATCATAAGTCGCCAAAAACAAATGGGGCAGGAGATTGGGAATGAACTGGAGGAACAAAATGGTAAGAACATCTCTGAGATTGACCACATTTGCTATTTAGTATAAATACTGAAGGCTTGGATATTTGTTAAATGATTGTAATATTACAAAACATGTAACGTGGTTTACTATCAATGGATTATTACATTTAATGCAATTGAGGGTGGTTTGTGGCAGATTTTGATTGTAGTTACTCAATACTGTGTAAAGAAGTTTGATAAAAAATTTCCAGTTCTCTGGAACTGCTTTTAAAAATACTTTGTTTTACGATCCATCTATTCTGAGAGCTTTCCTTGTGCATCATGTAGTGAAGTTGCTCAGTGCCTGGCACGCTGATGGGAGGCACCGGGGAGCTGTGGGGACTGTCCTCTGCATGCCCAGTGGAGCTGGCTCCTCCTCCATCACAGATGCCAGCTGCAGGGCAAGAAAGTGCTTGAGGATCTTTCTTTATTCAGGGCTCGATGTGGTGAATCTGTTTGAAGAGAGACTCATCTGCAGTCCACAAGCAGGCCGGCTTGGAAGAGACAAGGCTTTACCTGACAGGCTCCTGCGCTTGAGGTGTGAGCTGCGAGGCTCTGAGCCTGAGCGAGAGTTGAGCAGTGGGAATGGAGAAGGAAGGATGGGGCGGGGGACTGATGGCACTTTAACTGATGGACACGGTCAGGGCAGTTGGAGGGTCATGGTTGTGAGTGCAGATCATAAGTCCAGTTTAGACATGTCCAGTTGGAGATGCCAGTAAGAGATCCGAGCCGGAGCATTGAGGAGACGGTGGGAGATACGGGGCCAGAGCTCATGAGAGGACGACGGAAGACGAGACGTGAGAGGCTTCAGCATGGGGTGATGTGTGAAAGCTGAGCCTCATGAAGTTCTTACTATGTGCCGAGCACTTTCATCTGTATTGTTTTATTTCATTAACACTGTGAAGGCAATGGTATCAGTTTGTTAGAGACAGAGCTCAGCGTGGCTGAGGGACTCCTAACATGACATCACTTATACAGGATGGAACTGAAATTCCAAACAGGTCTTCTGATTCTCATGTGACTGCCTCTTCTACTTCACTAGCTTCTTCTCTGGGGAAGACAAAGTAGGGAGAGAAAAGTAAGAAGTAAGAGTTTATGCGTTTGGCTGTTGGTGATAGTACTATGGAGGCTCATGATGGAATGGCTTTTTAGTAAACATATCATGTATGAGGAAGCCCCAGGAGCAGGCAGACGCTCGCTCTGGAAGGAGGGCTGTCCCTGTCAAAACTGTACAAGTAGTACTTTTCTGGATCTCTATGAAGAATGAGTTAATTTGTTCCCAAATAAATAATATATAAACAATTTCCATCTATAACCTATTGTAAGTAAATAGATTACTAAAGCAAATAAAAAGCTCTCCATCTTTACAGTCCTAATAGTGGTTTTTCGTAGTTTAAGCCCAGAGAGGAAGACAGTGTAGTCCTTTTCCTGATAATGTTCATGTGAATGTGCTGATTCATGTGTTTGCATATAATGTAGTCACCGGCCCGTTCCTTCCGTGAAAGGTGGTATTGGTAAGAAAGTTAGCTCTGTAGAAAGTCTGCCTGTCATATGTGTAATTGTTCTTTGTCCCAAGGAAATGTAGCATATGCAGTGGGTCAGACTAGAAGGGACACCACACTGGGGAAGCGTGCCATCCTATGACGTGCTTAGATAGGCTACTGTGTAGTAATCTGTGGGTAGATGGTTAAGGATTGATGGTTCATTCTTGGGTGAGGTGACTTGCTGACTTCCAATACATTTTTCCCACATAAGCAACCACGCCAGCATGTCCTTATCTAGTCTTTTCTCTAGTTCAGTAGTTTTTGTACTTTGCTGCATGTTAAATAATCTCTGCATCTCATATCTTTAATTAATTTATTTATAATTATTTTTTCAATTATAGTTGACACACAATAGTCTATTAGTTTCAGGAGGTCAAAAAGGGATTAGTTATTTATATAGCTTACAAAGGGATCACTCTGTAAGTCTAGTACCCATCTGATACCATACACAGTTATTACAATATTATTGACTATATTCCCTATGTTGTACTTTACATTCCTGTGACTATTTTTATAGCTGGTAATTTTATATCTTAATCCCTTCCCCTTTTTTATCCTTAACTTATTAACACACCTGCAAAGTCCCTTTGCCATATAAGGTAACATTCACTGATTCCGGGGATCAGGATGAGGGTCTATATTATTCAGCCTACCACGTTCCCTTCCTAACCTTTCAACATGAAAATTCCGCTGATGGGCTCTAGCATGCCTTTATACTGGTAGTTCACTGGTAAGCACAGGCGATCTCTGAGCATTTTGTGTCCTTCAGGGAGCATAGTAGTTATTTCGTGCTTCTTCCAAAGGACACACTGGTCCCCTCAGTCCCAGTATTGATGCTCTTGAGACAGTGGTCTTCCTTATCACCTGGGTTTCTTTCAGGAAGGGAAAGGCGCAAAGGTTGACAGAGAGACATAAAGAGGATTGGCCAAATATGGGATATTTGAACATCAAAAAGAATGATGGGGACTGGCACACACTGGCAGAGACGGCTGAGACAGCTGTTTTATCCACCAGAGAGGTGCCTCTCTGGCTCTTCGTGGTGCTGACTTTAGTGGGGAGCCTTTCTTCTGCCCAGGGCCATGTGGATATTTATAACATCATTCTCGGGCCATACAAAATTATCAACTTGAACATCAGCCTGCTATATTTGGTCAGACATTTAATTATCTCACTCCTAATGCCTTGGCAGGGCCAGCCCAAGTGATTTCTCGGGCCTTATACAGCCCGAGGGCCGGACGTTCCCCACCCCTGCTTGAAGGTTTGGCCAATGTCAGAATTAGGTCTCAGCAACACCTACTTCAGTCAGCTCGGTCCCGTTCATTTTCTTGTTTGTGTTCCTTTCAAAATGCCCTGTCCTCTTGAGCGTGAACTTGAAGGACGTTTCTAGTAAACCAGCACCACAGTTCTTCCTTATGAACAGTGTCTGGGAGTCTGACGGAGCCCTCTGTGCCCAGCCTCCCATGCAGTTCACCTTGAACGGAAGCACTAAACTCTGTTGCATGAGGTGACCTTGGTTTGGCCTCCGCTGCTCTCTCCTGCCGACCCGCACCTTCACCAGCGACCAGCCCAGGTCCACTGCACACTGAGGTCTCCCCTCACTGGCATTGCCACTAAACTGCTCACCCTAGTCCTCCTTAGGCTTGGTCACTGACATATGAACAGGATAATCCCTGGTGCTGGTCAGGCCCTTTTTAAATCTATATGAGGAAATTGGAAACTGAATTTCTAAATTGATGGTCATTTGACCCTTCAGCTTTGTGGTTATGCTCTAAGTACAATGTGTTTTGCTAGTAAGGTTTTGATACTTGATTCCAAAATGGCCTGGTTGGCCTTTATCTTAGCCTATTGTTTCTCTCATTAATGAAAACCAAGAGAATAATTCAGTACGTCAGTCAATCAAATAGAGATATTTACAACCAAAGTGGTGTCCTTCTCCACAGTCCTGATTCCTCAGTGCACACTCAGGTCACAGTAACAGTCCGGCGGGGGCCGCAGCCCTGTTCTCAACACCTACAGATACATGAACAGTAGAGGCTGATTATAGTCCGAGCAGGGATATAATTTTTATCCTCAGAGCCTCTTGGTTCCTATGAAAGAAAATGGCTGACTCTGCCCCATTTCTGAGGAGCAAATGTGCATGTTGGAAAACCACCAGCATAACTCGGTCTCTCTGGGAGGCCACCACAGGGAAAACAGCTTATTTTGACAACGAATGGGAAAATACCTCATGTTTGTCTATGTACACATGCACGCATCCGGGGCTAGAAGGAAGATGAGGACTGGGAGGCGGGGAGGAAGCGAAAAGGATGGAGTTAAAATGTGATGAACAGAGTCTCCGACTATGACTAGCATGGCAGATGCATGGGTATGTAACTGTGTGATGTTCTTCTGTGCATGTGTGGGGTTTATATCTGTCATGTGAACATGAGAGGCAATATGAAAGTAGAGGACTAAGTATATTCTCTCCACATATTCAACATAGGGCACTGGTTCTCAAACTTGTCAGTACATGGAAATTATCTGGGGACCTATAAACAGTATTTATGCTTGGGCCTCACCCCAGAAGGGCTGATGTGATTGGTATAAAGTACTGTGGTAGGCAGAAGAGTACAACCTCCCCACTCCCCCCAAAACGTTGTCACATACTAGAACCTGTGAATATATTAGGTTACATGGCCAAGAGGCATCAGTTGCCGATGGAATTAAGGTTGCTAAACCAGCTGACCTTAGGACAATTATTCTGGATTATCTGGGCGGTCCAGTGTCATCACAGAGTCTCTTAAAAGTGGAAGACAGAGGTAGAAGTTAGAGTTCAGAGTAATGTAATGTGAGAAGGGCTCCATCTACTGCTGCTGGCTTTGAAGATGGTAGAGGGGGCCACAAGCCAAGGAATGCCAGCAGCCTTTTGAAGCTGGAAAAGGCAAGGACATTTAATTCTCCCCTAGAGCCTCCAGAAAGGAATGCAGCCCTGCTGACACCTGGTTTTACTCATGGCAGACTTCTGACCTGTGTGTTTATAGCAAGAATAAAAAACCAACTCAGGTTGGGTCAGTGATGGGCATAGTTACTTAAGATCCCTGGCTGACAGAATAGCCACCATTTCATACATTGCTGGTCACTGTGCCAGAGAGCAAGAGAGCCCTGGAGGGTCTTGTTTCTGCAATTATATGCTCTGGCCCAGAAGGGATGTGCCAGTTTCATTCACAACTCATTGGTCAGAGGTAGTCATGTGCCCCCACCAGTGATGATACTAGGAGGTATAATCATACTGATGTGTCTTGTTTTGGGGGGAGGAGAACCAACAATGTTGGTTGAACAGCACAAATGAATATCACAGGGGCAGTTAGCAGGTAAGGGTTAAACTGCCTCTGATACATATTAGCCATGTGACCTTGAGACCTTGAGCAAGTTACTGCCTCTTTCTCTGTCCTTTCTTTTCTCTAAAATGGGGACTTTAG